GAGGATCGCCCCCCCCCCTCCTCGGGGGAGGTCACATGGAAAGCAGGTAGCAATCCCCTGACTGAGGATCCCCCCCTCCTCGGGGGAGGTCACATGGAAAGCAGGTCGCAATCCCCTGACTGAGGATCGCGCCCCCCCCTCGGAGGTCACATGGAAAGCAGGTCGCAATCCCCTGACTGAGGATCGCGCCCCCCCCTCGGAGGTCACATGGAAAGCAGGTCGCAATCCCCTGACTGAGGATCGCGCCCCCCCCTCGGAGGTCACATGGAAAGCAGGTCGCAATCCCCTGACTGAGGATCGCGCCCCCCCCTCGGAGGTCACATGGAAAGCAGGTCGCAATCCCCTGACTGAGGACCCCACAAACCAGAGGAGGTCACCTGCAAAGTGCTCAGTGATCCCAACCAACCAACCAAGGGCCCTACACATGGAAATTAGGCAACTATCCCCAACAACTGAAGACCCCTCATATCATGTGACACCTCATCACACCTACCTGAACAGGAAGTTCAGACCGAACAACGTGAACATGACAGCGATGTATCCCACAATTCCAGTGGCGTAACTCATTTTATACAGGAGGAGAAACCATTTATATACGAGCCTGCGGAGACACAAGACATGGGAGGTCAATAAAGGAGGTCAGAGAGTACAGAATGCTATATCAGTGTCGGAGCTCTTGGGTCTGCACCCCGTCCCCGGCCTGTGCCAAGGACTTCCATCATCCCTGCCGGAAATGATCTGGCCTCCGTCCTCCCCTCCAGTCTTCTATGTGGCCTCCGTCCTCCCCTCCAATCTTCTATGTGGCCTCCGTCCTCCCCTCCAGTCTTCTATGTGGCCTCCGTCCTCCCCTCCAGTCTTCTATGTGGCCTCCGTCCTCCCCTCCAGTCTTCTATCTGACCTCCCTCCTTCCCTTCAGTCTTATAGCCCGGGCTACGGCACACTGGATTCACCAGCAACGTAATACACACCGTACTCTATATACCAGAGAGGTGACGGCACCATGTAATGACCCCTCTGACCCAAGTCTTCTATCTGACCTCCGTCCTTCCCTCCAGTCTTCTATCTGACCTCCGTCCTCCCCTTCAGTCTTCTATCTGACCTCCCTCCTTCCCTTCAGTCTTATAGCCCGGGCTACGGCACACTGGATTCACCAGCAACGTAATACACACCGTACTCTATATACCAGAGAGGTGACGGCACCATGTAATGACCCCTCTGACCCA